CTTCAACACCATGTCTTTTTTGCGGGAGTTTATGCAAGACATCGCAACAAGCATCCCGCACTAAACGCAGTCACTAAATGCCACGCACCGGCATCCTGAATAAGGACCCCTGATTCGGGGAAATGCGCAAACAACCTTACAAAGAACCTCCCTAAACCCTAACCCCTAAAGCCTTGCCTGCATGAATCCGGAGCCACTCCAGTCGGCCAGGGTCCTGGGCATACCGGCCACCTTAGCCATAATAGGTTTAGGATGTTTAGGGTTTAGGGGTTCGGGTTTAGGATTTCAAGGTTTTATTGTGCGGGGCTTTAGGGTTTCTAGGGTTCAAGGGTTTTAGGATCTTATATAGGGGTTTTAGGGTTAGGAGGCTGAGGATTTTAGGTTTGGGGGCTGGGGGCCAAGGGTTCTGGGCTACGCTTGAGGTTCAAGGGATCCAGGTCTTAGAGAAAGTTGCTGAGACCAAGTTCTAGTAGAGCTGGCAATAGCCATGATGACAGCAGCCGCTGTGATAACAATAACAAGCCAGAGTAGCAAAACCCGTAAACCCTAAAACCTGAAGCCCAATTGTACGCGTAACTATCGTCATGTTGAGGAATAAACTGCTTCCCCTAATATTAAACGTCGCCCCGCCCCCTAACATCTAATAGTCCGGGCCCAGAAAACTTTTCTATATGAGGGGAGATATTTATTGAAATGACAAGATAGGGCTACCTTTAAAATCCTTCTGAATTCTATGGAAGATGAAATAAATAAATAGGTTAATGAACTAAGTCATCTTAATGAATCTAATTACTTAACTTGGTTTAATGAATCGAATGAATTACTTGGTTAAACAGTTAATTATTCAAGTAGTTAAAAGAATTCCATGGAAACTAAATAAATAGTGACCTCAAACTGCCCCTAATTCATTATTGGGTGGCCCCTTTGAAAAGTAGTCTTCCCCTTTTACAAATAGGCCTCTGGATTGTTAGGCCCCTGAATTCATTACTTAATTTTGGGATGGTTTTAATATATTAGGGGGAAGGGATGACCTCCCCTTGCGCAACATTATGTATTGCAACATTGGCCCGTACAAGCGCCACGTGTAAAACCCTGGCAGTGTGTCAGTGGGAGAGCATGGGTGGCTTTTAACGGGGAGGTGCTCGTCTGTTCTTGCCAGCATTTCGCATAATTGTTGGTAGATTATGCTTCCTTCTGGTTGGGATGTGCCAGGATTAGGGCCCCCATACTCCCCTGAGAATACGATCTTCAACAGCAGAGACCCAGTTGGTGTTGTTTGGCAAATTCCAATTTTGAGCCCGCAACCCAGGTAAGCATATTACAAAATGAAAAGCTCAGTCCATATGGGACTTACGATTCCAACTTAACCCTCCGCCCCTCGAAACGACCAGGCACGAAGGCATCGAGGAATGGCTCTAGCCTTGCCAGTAACCTCAGTGCAGGACAGTGCTTCCATCCCCAGCTCCGGCGTTCAAAGGTCAGGCGTTTAGGTGTCAGGGCTACGGGTATATATCGAGTTTAGGGTTTGGGTTCAGGTCCGAAACTACCTGACCGTGAACCCGTCATGGATCCGTCTTAGACAATTGCACTACGCTCAACATCGCCGCCAGACATAGGCGAATCCCAGGGAGGCAGTTGGGGCCGCAGTTAGGGAAGAGATTGCCCCTAAAAGCATGCGGGGCAGACATAAACTTGGATGGACTCACTTCACAGCGTCCCCGCACACCCCGATCCAAACCCCCCAAGACCCTGGACACCAAAATCTTCAACAACCCGACTGCGTCGCTTGCAGGTCCCGAGGAACTGGTCTGACAGGTCCGGGACCGAGTCGGAGAGGTTAGAGAGCGCCTGGTGAGCGGCATAATTTTCATAGGGTATATCGAAAATGAAAACTTACATTCAAAAATTACTCGGTAGTATGGACCCTTAATTCTGGCGTCCTTTTATATTATGGCTCCGATACACCTCACGAATGCCAGAGGCAACTTGTAGGGCCCAAACTCAAACGGGGCGAGTGGGGCTGAGTGGGACGAGATGGGCAAGTGGAGCGAACGGGTCATTTCATCTGGCCCATAGTTTTGACGAACAACCCGGAAACGAGGAGCTGAACAGCGGGGCCCTAGGGATCCCAGAGATTCGCAGCGCAAATCAGGACATTTTGGGGTCCCTACTAGAGATTATAGAAAAAGAAAGTTTACACAAAACTCCCAGAAAATCTCCGGATTCAGAGACAGTCCAAAGCCGTAATCCCTATAAACCCTACTTAAGCCCTCCAACCAAAAACCCTTAAGCCCTCCATCCCTAAAAACTAAAACCCTAAAGCCGCCTGAGCATCCAGGGATGACAGGCGCTTCTGGGACTCCACCGCCAAGGCGGCCCTTCGGATTTGTCAAAAAAAGGCTTAGAATACAGGGTTTAGGGGTTTTAGGTTTGGGGCTTAAGATCTGAAAAGGTTGACGGTTTGCGCGTTTAACTTGCTGCTTTTACATTTCGAATCGGGGCGCTTCAGTGCGTAGTGTATAGAGTTTAAAGGTTTAGGTCTTGGGTTTTGTCAGGCTTTAGAGTACAGAGCGTAAGCGTTTAGGGTTTGGAGGTTCAAAGGTGTAGGGTTTAAGGCTTTAGGCTTTGGAGTTGAAGGGTTTGGGGCATGGGGTGTCAGGGTTTGGGGGTAAAGTTTTAGAGGATTTGGGGTTTAGGCTCTATGGTCCGGAGGGTTATTCTAAAGATGTACCCTTTTTGCGTCCCCATTGGAAAATATTGCTTAGGAGATAGGGAACCCCAAAACGGTCACGGCAACGCCCATTGAGGGTTTACTGATCTAAGATTTGGGATTCAGGGTCTATGATATATTGCTTAAGTGATAGGGAATCCCAAAACGGTCACAGCAACGCCCATCGAGGGTTTAAGGACTTAAGATTCGGGATTCAGGGGTCTATGATTCATGGGGGACAAACTTCCCCTATACACCATGGGGATCGTACTGGTTCCACGGATTGTTGGTTTTGTCGCAAGGAGCATGGGACCACTTCCAAGGTCAGCCGAGTGATCAAAGAACTTGTGGTGCATTTATGCAAACTGTCTCCCCTAGCAATGCAACCCTGCTCCTTCCTTCTGTTTAGCGTTCCCGTTTCAGCAAGTCCTACTTAAGCAACAAAAAATGAAGATGTGGAAACCTAAGCCCCCTGCAGCGTTCAGTCCCTTAAGACCCATAAAAAGACCCAAAAGGACTATGGTATATGATTTGGGGGTCCAGGTAACACAAACCCTTATTATCCCCATGTAATATAATCCCTAAAAAACCTTATATACCACAACTGAAGAAGCGCCTGGCCTCAAGTTTCTGCCGACTCTTTGCAGCTTTGCAACCGCCCAGGCCGTATTTGAAAGCTCTTGGTTCCTCAGTCACCATCTGGGATTTAGAGTTTATGGACTGGGGGGGGGGGGTTGCAACATGCAGTTGCTAGCATATTTTCTTCTGCATGGGGACTACAGAAAATAACTTCTCGATTAAAACCACCAACTTAATATGTAGCAAAAGGTCCATCTTCAGTCCCCTTCAGCAGTGAATTTTGGGCGTGTTGCGCCCGTTTTTCTTAGAAAGGTTTCCCACGTGCCGGCTTATATCCTATAGATTCGAACTCACGAAAACTGACCGACTGAAATTATACCTGACCACAGTCCGAAATGATCCTGGACCCTAACTTTCAAATAGAAACTGTGCTCAAACAGGATCCGGTTCAAGAAGAGATGCAACTTCTGCACTGACTGGGTCGAAATCGCTTCAGCCAAGCGCGCGCTATCGTGAACCAAAGTGGCGCAAGCCCATACAGTGTTGGACAAATCCTGCGTCCTGGGCTCCATCATGGAATGAGGGGAAGGGTCTTCCAATGGGTTGGGCCTTTGAGAACCAACAAATGAAGAATCCCAAAACGAGGTATCTGGCCTCGAAACAAAGGTGCATGAAAGGACCATCCTCCGGCTACCCACTGTACACAAACCTCTAGCTGTCCTCCCCTCACGCACTCCCATATTCCAGAAAAGTACGTGCAAAAGTACAGTCACACAGCGCGCGCAGAGGGCTTACCATCTTGTTTGCACCTTCATAGGCGGACCCTCGACGCCCTGTGGATATCCAAGATTTTCAGGAGACCATAGGAATCCTGCTGAGGGATATGTAGGGACAAATTCGAGAAACTACCATGCCATAATTAGAACCAAACTCTAACCCCAAACCGAACCCTCCCTTTATGATCCTTACAATTCCTGCATAATTTCTGAACCCTAAACCCCTGAAACTAACCCAAGGATCACGAACTCCGAGATGATTCCAATGGCCTGACTTCCTAGCGCGGACAGGAACTGGCTGTCAGTGAAACCTGTCTTGGCGCAGCACCAGGCCAAATTTGCTGCCTGATGCAGAGCTGGGGCTTTGGGCTTAGGGTTTAGGGGCTTAGGGCTTATAGGGGCTTATAGGGGCTTGTAGGGGCTTAGGGTTGAGGGGCTCATAATTATAGGGGCTTAGGGTTTAGGGGTTTAGGGGTTGGATGAAGGCTCAGGACTTTGGGGGTTTCCACGAACAGGGGGTTCCCATGAAGACGGCAATTTACTAGAACCCTTGTCCTGCGACTCCTAGAAGAAGGGGACCCCTAGTTTTTGGAAACCTCCATTGGGGGTATAGGTTGAAGTTTGAAAGCCTGCAGCTGGCGGTTGGATCATAAGCTTCCTGCTGCGATGGTGGATCTAGGCATAGCGCAAAGCTACGATTTGAACAGTACAGGCCAGCACTGATGTCCAAGAAGAAACGCGAACCGCTGAACAGAGCAGCTCAGGTAGCTGCACGCAGTGACTAAATACGATCGAACAGCTCAAACAAAAGCATGAAACAAGATGCTTGCGATGATCTGAGATTCGGCGCTCCCAAACGGCTCTTAACACCTCTTCAGGCACTACTCCCAATCCCACACACCTTACACACTCTTGCCCCTTCACCCTCAGCCCACCTCTTGGGGAATCATCTGCCCACAGGTCTTCAGCGCAGCCTGGGAGATGGCCTCCATGAGCGCCTTGCTCCGAAATCCCAAAGAGGCGAAGGCCCAGGCGGTGTTGGTGAGATTCCTTTGGTTTGAGGCGTAGGGGAATTAGAGATTACACTGGCGATTATAAGGAATAAATGTATGGGAGATGGGGTAGTATTTTAAGGTTGGGGCTTCAAGGACTAAGGGCCTAGGACATAGACTCAAAGTCCAGCGCCCCATACCAACTTCCCAAAAAGGATGAGGCTCTGAGAGGCGAAGCCTTCCAAACCAGCCATCGCAGCCGCCGAAATGGCATCGCATAAGGGCCGGTCCACAGCCAACCTGGGAACAGCCATCCCTAAGGCTCCCAAAGGGTTTAGGGGTTTAGGGTTTAGGACTTGGGATTTAGGATTATGGATAAGGGTCTGAGGGTTTGGGGTTGAGGGCTTGGGGTTTAGGGAGAGTACTCCAATCATGGAGAATCAAATGGAACAGAACATCGAAAATGAAATGGACACTGGGACTATGCAGTGGACTATGGGGGTTAGGGTTTCCCAACCTTGTGGGGTGCCTACTAGAATGATTATAGTACATTGGAGTTTATGTTGGGGTCCCCATATTTATGTGAACACTACCAAGTATTCTGGGGCTCTAAGTGAAAAACATTGAGGTTATAGTATTTGGGACCCATGATGCCCTACTATTACTTGGACAGTGGCGCTATGGGGGTCCCATCCTATCGGGGTGGGGGGTTCTATGGAAGGGGCTTCTCGAAATCGAGGGCAAGTTCTTTAAGTCAAACCCCAGGAACACTTTCCCATGTTTGTTTTTGGGATCCCGCAGCCATCATTCAAGTTCAGATAGCAACCAGGCAGCAACCTGGTAAGGGCCCAAACCGTGTTGGCCAGCTCTTGCGGATCAAAGGTGTGGAGCTTGGCAAGCGAGCCTTTCAGGACTTGGGCGTTTGAGAGTTGACTGGTCAGCATTTGCGCCCTGTGCAAGTTGATGGCTGGGGGTTTGAAGGCTTCAAGGCTTGTGGTTCAGGAGTTGGTCTTCAGAGGCTTTAGGGTCTATCATTTTCGGGTTGGCGCTTAGAAGGCCAAGCTTTGAGACTAGAAGCAACGTCTACTGTCTGAAGGCAGCCCTCCCAGAACCCCATGAAGGCACCAGGTTAGATTAGGCATATCCCTGTGGCTCTGAAAATCCCTAGCAACAAATCCCTAGCAACAATAAAGTGGGAGGATACTCTCGCGATCTATCGGGCGCCACGAAGCATGCAAAGCAGATCCAACGAACGACAGGCCAGGGCACATTGTGAAATTGCAGTGATGAGAGTTCCAGGCTGGAGCACCGCTGTAGCGAAAGCCCAGACCAGATTAGACAGGGACTGCGCATCACACTGGTCGATCTTCCTTGACTGTGGGGCTTTGCGGGTGTGGAATTCAAAGAGGAAAAATCAAAGACTTATTACAGCTTACAACAGTTGGGCTGGAACTGCTGTGTCGAGAAACAGCGTTTGAGAAGATCCTGTGGGGTCTAACTCAAAACAGATCGTCATCAGGAAGAGACCTCTCTTGACATGTGACAAATTCACAAAGCGCATCCTGTATCGTCACCACCCTAGCCCGCGAAACCCTAAACCTGGCTCTGAGCATGGGAAGTAGGGGTTTCCGTTGTTGAGCCTGTGGGCACAAAGGGAGCTCCTACCTGGTCAGGGCTTTAGTTGTATTTTTGATGTGGAAGGATCTTGCACGAATGTCGGATTTCTCAAATACTGTCGTTTCTATAGGTATATACTGGAGTTCCTCTCTGCGCAGTAGCCACTCACGAATAAGAAAATGAATCCATGCCCAGTTGCGCCATTGCCACTGATGCAGTCAAGTCAAAGAACGCAGCATCCTGACTAGGCTTCCTACAGAGAAATGTAGGAAGCATAGTAGTGAGCTGCCTTGTACTGAAGCTGACTACTGTAACCCAGCGGTTTTTGGGCAGGTGACATCAAAACATATGGCTCACTGGTGCTTGGTAGGGAATAATAAGGGAATGCAATCCCTATTTACTCCTTATACAAGGGCATAATCAAATCGTCAAAGAAATGAATTGACATGGAAACCGGGATGATTCAGAGACTTTGGCCAAGTTGTTGAAAAAATAGAGCCACCTTGTTAGTGACCCTCCACATCTCTGCAAGTCCATCCTGGCCCGCCCTCCTCTAAATTCTTCGATGCCTAGAAAAAACATGACAGCTTTCCTCAGCAGGATCCCAGATTTGAGTCAGACTGTTTCCATCTGGATTCCGCAAGACGGAAGAAGCCATTGTGTTGAAAACGCCCTAAGCTGGCAAGTCACATGCTTAGCACATCCCCTCGGCACCTCGTGCGCAAGCTTGGCAAAAGCCCATGCCGTACTCGAAAGCTCTTTCGGGATGGCCTCCTGCGCAATATTAGGTTGCTCTGGGCTTGGGATTCAGGAGGCTGCTTTTTTATCAGCAGTCCTGCTCCGAGGAATCAGAATAACAAACTTCAATTTGGTAAGCTACTCCCCTTGTAAGCGGGATGGCTGGCACCCTTGCACAGAGACTCAGTAGCAGGAGATCCACCATCATTTCAAGGCATCCTCATACTGCAACAATGTTTTTTGATCCAGGAATCGGAAGTATCTATGGGATGCCTAAAGCAAACTTCCTAATTACGCCCAGTTTTGGGTTTTGTGGTCTGATGCTTCCGTCGCCATGTCACCGCGGTGTGGCAAGTAAGGCTCGGGGTTTGGTGGTGTTAGCTTCGTCGTGGATATGGGAACGTGGGCATTGCACTGCCTACAGAGGCCACATAGATCCACACGCAGTTTGGGTATTGCAGCACCTGACCTTAGGAAGCATGACTTCTGCAAGTGGCGCTTTTCTTTACTTTGCCGTCTTTGTGACCGCCATCCTATGCAGCTCTTCGTGCTTCGTTGGTGGTTGCTTCCTTTCTGTTACGCACGGGCATGAAATCAGCATGGCAGCTTGCAGCTCAACAACTTTGCAGCAAAAGCCTCAGACCCCAACCCCATCCGCACCTAAACTACATATGTCTCTGTATAAGTCTGTCCCGGAGTCCCGTCTTGGCTTGCGCCGTGAAACTACAAAGTTGCTCAAGGGGGTTCAAATTCAAGAAGTAGAGGCTCCCGGCCAAACAAAACCACACGCACAAATATCATCTACAACATAGGAAAAATACTAAAGCCACGGTTTCCAGACCCACTGTGCAACAACTTGCACTAAGACTACGTAGCGGCTCCAGTGGTTGAAAGAACAGCAGTGTGAACATATGCCGTTCAACAAAAAAGGCGGACCCGCAATATGACTCTCTCTCTTTCTTTTTTTCTTTCTTTCGTTCAGGCTGTGGAGGAGGGACAAGTCCCCCCTCCGGGCGTCACTGCCCAGCCCATGTTGGGCTGATTGGTCGGTTCCCCTCGTCGTTTCTTTGACTGGGAATGACTTTACGTATCGACCCAGACTCTCTCTCTCTCTCTCTAACTCACTCTCTCTCTCTCTCTCTCTGTCTGTGAATATACATATCTCATATATCTATACAGTGCTATATAGTGTATACCTGTCTGTATACGTACACTCCTCTGTCTGTGTCTCTCACGCTTCCCTGCCTCCCTCCCTCCCTCTCCATGACACAACCACCAGGAGGCCAACCCTTGAGGCTCACGACTAGCTGTTCAAAGAGCATTAGGCTGCGGAGGCAATATCAGCAATTTGGAACTACACCAGGATCCTTGGCGATGTCATATCTGTTCAGCATAGGGGCTTAAGAAATCATACTTCATGATGAGCCAGGCCTACAGTTGAGGCATGCCAGGACGGGTCCTTGAGGGTTGCAGAGTGGGAGGCTACTGCCGTCATCAGCGGGTCGGCTTTGATGAGCAGCTTGGCAAATGCCCAGGAAGTATTTGCCAGGTTCTGCGCAGCAAACGCATCAATTTTTGTGACAGCCTCTGAAGCAGCTGCCTCCAGCAAGGTCTCATTGAAGAACTGCAACTTGGCGCAAGACCACACCGTGGCAGAGAGGCTTTGTGAGCCAAAGTAAGAGATCTTGGAGACAGCAGCGCCGGCTACAGCCTCTACAAGCTGCGGGTGGTGCATAGCCAGTGCTGCAAACGCCCACAGCGTGTTGGATAGATGCAGCACCAGGAAAGAAGGCAGCGCAGACACGGCTGCATCTGCGAGGCCGTTGCACAACCGAACGTCTGCAGCCACAAGCATCGCAAGAGCCCAGGAAGTGTTGGCAATCTCCTGCGGTCCGAAGGAATGCATGCGAGCAAGCGAGGCCTCCGAGATGGAAGCCAAGGATATCTGGTCCTTCACCGAAAGCCTGGCCATTGACCAGGCCATACTGGAGAGAGTCTGAGCCTGGGCTTCCATGATCCTCTCCTGAAGACTGGTGCATAGGACATGGGTCAAGGCACCACTGTATGCCAGAAGCTTGCCAAAGGCCCAGGCTATGTTGGACACGTGCTGCTGCGTGCATTGTGTGATATTAGCTACGCATGCAGCTCCGGTAGCATCCATGACTTGTGAGTTCAGGATTTCCTGCTTGGCAAAGGCCCACACTGTATTTGCCCGGTCCTGCGGTGTGAACTCATGCAACTTCCGAACTGCGTGGAAGGCAACGGCATCAAACAAAGGTGGGTCCGAAACTTCGATGGTTGAAAAGGCCCATGCAGTATTCGAGGTTTTCTGAGGAGCAAACTGCTCCATCATCCTCTGACCGGCTTGTGATGCTGCCTTCCATAGCCTCTGACCTCGAATCATCAACCGAGCACTTGACCAAGCAGTGTTAGAAGTATCTTGTGTTCCAAGCTCCTCCATCTTTTCGATGCAGCGACTGCACAACGCGTTCAACAGGCACGGGTTCATGGACGCCAGCTTGGCCATTGCCCACACTGTAGTTGATAGGTCCTATGGCTTAGACTCCCCTATGCGCTCAAGAGCACGGGTTGTGAGCTCATCTAGCACTGGTCGGTCTGAGCTGGCCTGCTTTGCCAGAGACCAGAAAGTACTGGCAATGTCCCGGGGTTGAAACTGAGCTTGACGAGCTAAAGACTCCGCCCAAACAGCAGTGCAGAACTGCTCGTTTGGGCTGTTGGTAGCTGCGTATGCCCAGGCCGTACCCGTAAGGTCCTGCAGCGAGAACTCGCTGAGCCGAGGCAGGGATGTAGCTGCAATCGCATTATAAAGCGTGGGGCCTTGATGCAAGAGCTTGGCAAATGCCTAAACTGTGTTCTGGAGATTCTGAGGATCACACTCACTGAGGACTGCTTGCGCCTACAGCGCGAGAGCGTCAATGGATGGCGGATGCCGAAAGTTGAGAGCTGCGGCTGCCCATGCTGTATTCGAGGCATGCTGCGGTGTGAGCTAGGGGCACCTCTCCAGCAAGACCTGGACAATGCCTGCAACAATGGGAGTGCCTGTGGCCTGCCTCCCATCTGGCATCTTGGCTACCCGGTGGAAGGCCGTCACGAAATTCACAGTGTCGAACTCGGCAGCATGCGCTTCACAGATGCCCAGCACCTGCAGATTGCTGTGACAAGTGACCTAAGGTTAGGTTGGCGTCGTGAACAATAATGTTGCTGCTTTGTGGCTGTAGTGAGGAGGCCTTTGACGATCATATCAGTGCTATACTAGATTGCAGTTTCCAAATGCATCTGGTCCCAGACCTCCCATACCCGCCCCCAAGCCGAACGCTACATCATTGGCATCTACACCTTCAAAACGGCACTATCGGGTCTCAACACCCAGGCGGCTGTAGAAATGCTCGCCAACCACAGAGGCATGAATTTTGGAACTAGAGGTGGGTTGATAGGTGCTGATACAGGCCTACTGGAAGCCTTGATGCCTTACATCGCAACTACCTGACTCCATAACATCCGGCTCCACGTGCCCTCTACCAGCCAAAAAAAATCCAAGCCCTACAACACCACATTTTACTTGCAGTCTCGTAATAACACCTGAAACTGTATTCAATATTGCATTGGATTTGTTTTTAAGAATTAGGGGTCTCCTTTTGGGGGTTCCTGGAACATGAAGAATGGTGTTTGGGGTCATATAAGGAGGACCCCAACTGTAGGCAATGCCTCCGGCGTTGACCGACTGCCAGTAAGCCTTCGATTCAGCTGTGCATTCAGCGAGTCTTCGCGCGGCGGTGGGGCCTGTGCGAACTTTCTACAGCTTGCCATTACAGAATGGAGTAATGATCATAAACCCTATAAGCCTAAACCCTAAACCTACACTAGGGTCTTGAGCTTTGGCTTGGTAGTAGGACACTGAGGAATGAATCCCCATAGTGGCCCCCAGAGCCCCAGTCCATTATCTTTCCTTTCCCTAAATCCCAAAATTTCCATTGTCTTGTTCGATCCTAACAGG